TTCTGTCAGACTGGTTGTCAGTACTGGCTTCTAAATTCAACAGCCAGCAGAAGAGATCAGTTGGGGTGTTGGCCAACCTACTGGCAAGCTGCCAACGATTCCCACCACAGCAGGTGCCTGAGGCTCCTTCAGGGCCCGTTCATCCTGGAGACGTAGCTCCTGGGGCCCTTCCAGTTGGTCTCCTGCTCTAAGGAGCTCAGCTCCTTCTGCATCCTCCTGCCTGGTGCATCCCCCCAAAACCATCGTACATTTGCCTTCATGTTATTTTCCTGTTACCCACACAGCCACAGCCAGCCGGGAGAACAAGACTGGCAGATGAGCAACCAGACCAGGAGGAGGCACGTCAGCAAGCAGGGCTTGGGGGAGGGCGCTTATTCCAGACAGCTGGAGCACTTCCTGCGCCACAAGGATTTCAAAACATTTGCTTCACTGTTGTGAAGTCTTAGGTAGTAAACAGCCTGAAATAAGACAAAAAGAAAGCTCCCTGGTGTCCCAGAGTGAGAGCTAACTTGTAATGATAATGGGTCATAAAAATATTCTTTCCTGTTTGTGGATAAAATGAGAGTTCCTGTGGCAGGATTCTCACCTGGCCCTGGTTGACTAGCTCACTGCACACCTGTGGGCCATACATGGCTACTGACTCTATATAAAGAGCCCCACCCGGTGCTCTGGGCACGACACGGTGGCAGGGCTGCAAGGCTGCAGGAGAGCAGAGCAGAGGCTGGAGTGGTGGCAACGACGAGGACAGAGGCCCAGAGGACGGCTGTGCAGGCAGAGGGGCCCAGAGGCAGAGACCAGACTGCTGCACGCAGACTCGCTCTGAGTGGAACGGATTTTAGTGATTGACCTGCCACCGTGGAAATAAAGTTGGGTATCACCCTTTCACCCCAAGAACGTTCTACTGTCATTTCTTTGGTCTCACTGAATCCACAGTGAACTTGTCTGGGGCTGAAACCCATTGGCCTACCTGCACGAGCTGGGTGCAGCAGTGAAGGTGCCTAACAATGGTGATGTCCAGGCTTTCGTTCCCTGTGGTCAGTGGGAGAGGACTTCCTGCCACGCTAGTCCCGACTCCTGTGTCTTCAGTCAGTGCTTCGCTAAGATGCCCCCTGGCTTCTGGGTGTGCTGACTGGTAACTG